CTGTTCGCTCCTTTCAGCGCCCATTGTAACAACTCTGCCTGCCCGGGCGAGCTTTTGCCTTTTCCCTCCATCTCTGGGGTTGAACCTCTGACCCTTCCCTTCCCCGGCAGCCGCCTCCCGTCCGAGGCCAAGGCCAGCGCCTCTGCTTCCTGGCCGAGCACTTTTCCAAGCCCTGTTGTTGAAATATCTCAGCGCTTTGGAAACCACTCCGATGCTCCTGTCCTGTCTTGTATGAAGAGATCCCTGTCTCGCCTCGGGAGGGATTATTTCCTAGAAGGCTCTCAGCCCAGCGCCTTAATTCAGAGATGAGGCTCGGGAGGTTGATCGACCCAAGGTCACCCCACTAGTTAAACCTGACAGTGGGATAGGGTCTTCTGGATGTTTTTCTCCCCCCGGTCCACATCCATTCGCTAGATCGAGGCCTTCTGTCTGGTCTACAGGTTTGATTGACCCGTTGCACGGTGACTCATTATTCTGCTTTCCATAGCTCCCAGGCCGGCCTCGCTGTCGGTAATTAACATAGAGACCTTAAGAAAAATAAACACTTGACGCTTTGGCATCTTCGTAGAGCCTGTCCTGGGGAAGGGAAGGACCGAGACCCGCCCCAGGAGCCCCAGGACCTTGTGCACCGCTTTAGGTGGGGTGAGCAGTGGGCAGAGATGTGGATGGAGAGGAAGGAAAAGGGGAGCCCAGAGGATTGTTTTTGTCTGGGATGTGCTGTCTTTAGGTTCTTCTCCTGGGCACATTGTTCTGACATAAAGGTTGCCTCCTGGTGGGGGAAAAGGGGAGGAGTAGAAGATCATTGTGCTTTCATTTGATGGCTTCGCGTTTGATAATAAATTACGGTGGGTGGCGCTGAAACCAGGCTCCCCACCCACCAGCCCACCGAGGCAGGGTGCCTGGGCCGGTCTTCCTCTTCGCAATCAGCCTGCCAACTCGCTCCGAAACCGCATGAGCAGCCTTAGATCTGAATGGAAACGTTCGAAGCCATTTGATTCTTGGTTCAACTTTCCCTTTCCGTCTGTTTCCTGGTTCACACTGATGAAACAGCCACCTCAGCTTTATAGAGTTTGGAACTCTTTGTTGTTGGAAGTGGTTTCTGACTAGATACACTGCAGTCCGCTGGTCTGAGCTTCAGGAGTTACGGGTGTTATATGGCACAGTCCAGAGTAGGTAGAGAAGATGGAAAATGAGGGCAGTCTTGCAAGGTGCTTTCCTCGTCTTGGAAGAAAGCTTTTTTTTTTTTTTAGAAAGAGGTTTTTGCTTTAGGTTGTGTGCATTTGCCAGAAAGACAGAGAGAGAAAGAGAAATCACCCCCCAGGGGGGGATGGCCACGCCGAAATCCCTTCTCCATTGTCGCTCTGGTTCTTGGGCACGCATGCACATGCACCCAGCATGAGTTTAAGCCGCTGGGTCCAGGACTCGAACCACAGTCAACTACATGGGAGTCCAGTGACATAGCCATTACACCAACTGCTGGTCTTGAAGAGAACTTATTTTAATGGACAATTTCATTTTCCCTCTGCTAGTGAATTAATGGAACTTTGTTCTTCTAACTTTTTCTCTCCATTCTGTTTGCTTTTCTTTCTTTCTAGAATTATTTCATTTAACTTTATTTATTTGTTTTAATTTGACTAAAGAGGGACAGAGTGAGAAAGAGAGAGAGGGGAAAAGTGAGAAAGCAGACCACCAGGTCCGGGACTTGAGCCGTGGTTGGCCATGTGGGAGTCCAGTGCCCTTAACCACCATGCCGTCTGCCGGCCCCTCATTCTGGTGGCTTTTCTAACTCAGCCTGCCATTTATGATCATAGAAATTAATGACTTGCTGCATGGGACAATAATTATGAATCAGTAAGGTGAGATGGGAGCCAAATCCTTCCCTTTTGATATTTTATGTATTTATATATGTATGTACATAGGTGTGTGTATGTATGTGCGTATGTATACACACACACACACTTTTCTCTTTAGAGAGAAATTTCTGCTATAGGGCACATGCACTTGCCAGAGACACAGAAACAGTGAAAGCGAGAAATCACCCCCTGTGGGGATGGCCATACTGCAATCCTTTCTTTTGGGAATTTGAATGCCATACACATGTGCCCAGTGTGATTTTCACGCCACCAGGTCAAGAACTTGAACCGCATGTAGGAGTCTAGTCCCTTCACTATTACATCACTGACTGGCTCGTCATCTTACATTTTTATTGTGAAGACTGTAACAGTTTCTTTTATCTAACTCCCAAATTATTTAAATCCTTTTAATGCATAGTTTTCCAGATTTTACATTTCTAGTCTGGTTCTTAAGGAAAAGATTGTAGTTTTTCTTTTCCTGATGTTTGGAAATGTTACCAAGCTGTGGGCATCAGTAAAACTGAAAGCTACTTTGTATTGTAAGATTCTGATTTGACAAAATAATACAAAATCCAAGTGTCTGAAGCACAAAGACACGTATTTTGCTTAGATGCTTTGCCCTTGCAGAAGCAGCAGCATGACTTTGTGACCACCTAATGAGGAGGATTTTGCAGTATTCTCTCAGTTCTTCCTGCCTCATAGCTTCAGATAAGTGATACTTTGTTCCTCAATTGTCTGTCCTTGTGTCTTTTTCATTTTGTCCATGAAGAAATTTAGGATTGAGATGAAAGTGCTCTTCTCGGGTTATCAGAATAAGTTTCGGTAGAGGCAGTAGAAAATAATGGGCCAGCCAGTAGCAGGGTGGTTAAAGCAGCTGGATCCCGCAAGCCTGACCATTCGTTCAAGTCCTGACTTGGTGAATTGAAAGAGCGCACTGGACGGATGTGCTTGCTTGCCTGAAATCCCAAAAGGAGAAATGGAGGAGACTGGCATGACCATGCTTCAGACATGCTTTCTCTCGTTCCCGGCCTGGCACCTGCATGCATCCTCGATCAAGTTAATTTTTTAAAAATATAAGTAAAGTGATTTAGTAAATTAGAATTTATCACTGTTTCACATAGTTTTTTTTTTTTTCCTATAAACATAGATCTTATTTATATAGTTCACTGGTCTTGAAAGCAGAATACACATGCCTTTGGGCACAATATCCATTAGAATATTAGGGAAAACTTAGGGGTTTTTTTGGATTCATTTTTTAATTAAAAGAGAAAAATGATGGGCCAGTCAGTGACATGGTGGTTGAGGCAGCTGGATATTATGTGGCCAATTGCACAGTTTGAGTCCCTGACCTGGCAGTTCAAAAGTATACTAGGCGTGTGTGTGTGTGTGTGTGTGTGTGTGTGTGTGTGTCCAAAATCCTAAATGGAGTAGAGGAGAAGGGATTGTGGTGTGGCTGTACCCCATGGGGGTTGCTTTCTCACTTTGTTCTGTCTCTGTCTCTCTCTGGTGAGTGCATGTACTCTAGTAAAAAAATAATAAATAGGGGACCAGCAGATGACGTAATGGGTACATCACTGGCCTCCCATGTAGTAGACCACGGTTTGAATCATGGACCCAGTGGTTTAAAACTCACATTGGGCGTGTGTGTGTGTGTGTGTGTGTGTGTGTGTGTGTTCAAAATCCCAAGAGGAAAATGGAGAAGGGGTTGCGATGTTGCCATTCCTCAGGGGGTGATTTCTCACTTTCTGTCTCTCTCTCTGTTTTTCCAGCGAGCACACGTGCCCTCTAGCAAAAATAAGTAAAAGTAAGAAGCAAGCTTTATTAACAATTTAACATGAACATTAATTAAGCTATTTAATTTATGAACAAATATATGCATATTGGGATGCATCTTAAAAAGATTCTAAAGGGACCAGCAGGTGGTGTGGTGGTTAAGGGCGCTGGACTCCCACGTGGCTGATCATGGTTCAAATCCTGGACCTGGTGGCTTGCTTTCTTACTTTCCCTTTCACTCTGTTCCTCTCTGGTTAAATGAATGAATGAATGAATGAATGAATGAATGAAGTTAAATAAAACAATTAAAAAAGATTCTAAAATGTTCTAAACTTTGAACCCTACTAACCAGAGCAGCCTTTCACTCCCATTCTTTAGTTCCCATCACGCTTCCCTGTTAAGGAGCTTCTGGCGCCTCTTTATCTCCATTGAGAGAGCTGTGAGGCAGACTGTTTCATTCCTACTTAGTATTTGTTTGAAACTTGTTTCACTGGGGTGGCCCCTTAGCACAGTGGTTAAGAGAGTTCCATCCCACATGGCTGACTGGTTCAAATCTCTTCCCCAGTGACTTTTTTTTATTAGCATTATTTATCATTTTTATACATTCGGTCATTATACATAATTTAGTTTGTAAAGAGATTTTACCCAACATGATATATGCCACACAGCAGATGAGTTGACTTTTAAAACATGCCAGCACCCCAAATCTTGATGTGATGGACAGATGAAGGAGAGTGGATCACAGCGTGACCACGCTCCACTGCCCCCCACCTCCGTGAACACACATGCCTTCTGGCAGTTAAAAACAGATTTGCTGCTCTTCTCGTTAGCAGCCTGAGGTGATTTTTGAAAATGGTTCACTATCACTTGACCCAGAGAACCCCACAAAGGCATGCAAGTCAAGAGGTTCAAATCTTCATGTTCACTTTAAGGACACTCGTGAAACTGCCCAGGCCATCAAGGGTATGCATATCCAAAAGGCCACCAAGTATCTGAAGGATGTCACTTTATAGACGCAGTGTGTGCCATTCTGTCATTACGATGGTGGAGTTGTAGATGTGT